TTTGTTAAATGTAGTTAAGTCAATATGTCACCAATGAAAAGAGGCTGCAACAGAATTTATATTGATTTACTGTACAAGGTTGCAGAACTTGCAATTGTCCCTCTTAAGACCATTAGTCTTCTTAGTACTACTTAAGTATTCTTAGGGGTTTATGATCCAGGGTCCTGTGCCACAATGTACTGTAACTCAGATAATTTTAGAGTTGGGCATTCAAGCTCCCAATATTATAGGGTATTTACATCAAAAACATTTTAACCTCTTCAGTGACCACGCATAATAGATACATAATTAGTCAGGTGATTATTTTGTAAAACTCTACAGGGCCTGAGATTTTAGGTCTTTCCAGGCAAAATGGAAAATGCGAAGGTACTTTATAAGGAAATAGGCAGTAGTTGAGTTGCTTCTCAAACAATGTCCGCAATACCACCCAGTTCCTTTTTATTTTGGTCTGCTGTCAGTATTTGAGCTTTTTTAGTAAGTAAAGAAATATACATAGTTTGATCTGCTTTATTGATCTCTCTGAAGTTCAGGCAATGCCTGCTAATGCTGTGCTAAAGAATACTGTATACAAGTCACGTGTGCCCCTCCATGCGTGGGATTATATTTGGTAGTTGGATTATTTGATAACACAAAATTTGCAGTTTTATTTTTTGTAATACAAACCTTTCAGAAAATTTTCAAGCATGAACAGATGTCCTTTTGTCCTCATCTTCTACTTAATCCTGCTAAATTCATGAGCACAGACATGGCTTCACCTTTGGATACAGGTTGTATAGGCTCTGTTAATTGATGCTGTCAATCTATATAACAGCACTCTCGATTAAAAAAAGCAGAAGCTCAGATCTGTACTCATTCACTACTTAATATACAGCACTCTCCAAGGTTTACAGATCCTCAGAAAGTTATCAAGCTCGAAGGACACTAGAGCTGTCCAGAAATTATGGACACATTGAACAAACTGAAACATTGACGAGAACACTTAACTTTCAATTAAATTTTAAAGTGTAAAGGTAAGGTCACATCTGCCTTAGCTATGTCTGAAGTATGCCTTCGACAAGATTTAAGATGAGAATTTTTCAGTAAAGGCTACTTTACTGAAAAACCCATACAGGCCAGCTTTGTGTAGGAAATAGGATATTTGTGTATGAACAGTAACTCACATCTCAGACATAGAACTTGCCAAATCTTTCAAAGTCACTGTTGGGCTTCACAGTTGCTTCTCTAACCAGTTCCCTGTTTATCCATCTGTTCAGTTTGGAAGGGGTGGCCTGATATAGGTAGAGTGGTATGATAAGTTTCCCTTTTCTCAATATTGGACCTCACTGTACTCAAAGGGATATGTAACCTTCTCTTGATCTATGCCTCCCTACTATTTAATCCTTGAATTGTTTCAGAAGCTCCTCGGTCTTCATGGTTGATTTGTTGTATCACTTTGTGAATTGAGTCATGAAATTCAATATCTGAGGGGACTTGCAGAGAGAGATGTATTTACACTGAAGTCAAGTTAAACCACTTTGATTACACACAGACAGAGATCATTACACTAATTTGGTGGCCTTTCAAACTATTGTTCTGCACCTAAACAGAGTTAGGGTTGCCTACTAATGCAATTGAGAATCCTTTAATTTAAAAAATATATAGTATTTATTTGCACACCACTTAAAGCCCCATCAGATTGATAACTCAGTGGTTAGCATGCTGCCTTGCAGCACCAGGCCCTGGACTCTGGGGTGCTATCTGCATGGAGTTTGTATGTTCTCCCCTTTGTTTGGGTGGGTTTTCGCCAGGTCATCCCACAGTCTAAAGATATACTGGTAGGTAATTTGGCTTCTGAGAAAATACGCCATGGTGTGAGTGTGTGCTTGTCTGTGTTTTTGTTTGCCTGCCTTGCAATGGAGTGGTGTCCTGAGCAAGGTGTACCCTGCCTTGCGCCCATTGCTTGTTGGGATAGGCTTCGGCTCACCCACAGCCCTGAATTGGATGAAGTGATTAGAACATAGGTGGATAAAGTCTGACTACAAGTTTGGACGGCAACAAAATGTTGCAATTACCAAAACTTTGCAGGGGGTGAATACTTTTTCAAGATTTTCAAGGCGTTGTATATTGAAGTGCCACGAATATTCAACATTTCATGTTTTACTTCAATAGCACACTCAGTATATGTATAATATAACATTTTAAATAATAAGCAGGTATGTTTTTTGATTGTTTGGGTAGTATTGTTTCCTTAAATAGCAAAATACTGAGACTAGGTCATTTCATTAAAGGTTCCATGTGCTCAGGATATGGTTTATGAGTTGAACTAGAATTCCCAAAAAGTTCATTAAGAATTTAAAAATGCATATCAAAAGGATATGATTTAAAAAAATGCGCAAACAGCAAGTGATAGCTCAGCAGTTATCCACATGTTTGAAGGTGGCCTTTCTGATATTGCTGGAAGAATGAGATGTTCGCTTCATCAATCATCGGGCTAATCCTTATAAACCAGGAAACCAGTTCTGTGTGCAACAGGGCACGTCCTGGAATGTAAGACATCTCCACCACCACAGAAATCATTATCAGACTTCAGCAAAAAAAGAATGATCTGTGCATCAGCAGGTCAAAATGACTGTAGTTCACTGTTTGCATTAAAATGGTTTGCATGCTTGGAGGCTGTTCAGTGGTACGTAGCTGACAGCAAAGAGATGACATCACTATCTTCTGTGAACCAGAGATCATCTAAGGCAGTTGCAGAAAGATGTTCTGTATGTTGTATTTTATTCACTGATGAATGTCATTCTGCTTGACAGACTTAATAGAAGGCAGTGTGTTTTTACATGTCATGAGCATTATGTTAACAGTTGCATTGGTCAGACCAACCAGTAAGGTGGTGAAACTGTAAAATAAAAACACCTTTGCAGATTGAGGGTAAAATTACTTCTCTGTGCTACACTGAGCTCTGTTATTTTTCTTTTTCTTTTTTTCATTTTGTGTTCCAGTAAGCTTATCAGGAAGTGTTGACATTTTGAGAAGATCACACAGTGTTTGAATTACAATGATGCAACATCAAGAAAAAATACTAAAACAACCTGATGGCCATGACTGGCCATCCTTCACCAACTGGCTACAGATACACAGGAAGAGTATCAGAACATCCCATAGTAGTCTTACCACACAGTAGCAATCCTGACACCTTCCGATAACAAAGGGATCACTATCTGCTGTGATAAACATTACCTCAAACATAAGCATACAAATTGTGTGGAATGAACGAGATAAATGTTGGGTGTGTACTACAGGGATCTTCTTCCACCAGGTCTGCAAGGCGGGTGCCAAATCACTGATTTTATTTGATAGTAATTGATGTTCACACATGCATTGGCCTAACTCATCCCACAGGTGCTTGGCTGGCTTCAGGACTGGTAATACTACAGGCCACTTTCAACATTGGGAATGATGGAAAGTGTAGCTCTTGAGAGAGTGCTACTATAAATGGCAAATGCCCTGCATGCTCTCAGAGCACATTCCTTCTCTCTTTCACTAAGTCATTGTATCACAGCAGTGATTAAAACTTCAACAGACATTAAGATATAAGATATATACAGTGAAAAGTATAGATGCAACAGAACTTGCAGATGTACTGTGATAAGACTGAGGTTATGCTCATAGGATTCCAACATCAGCTTTGTAAAGTGGTTAACAATTGGTAACAACAATGATGTTGCTGTAGGTGACTGTACTAAAATTCAGCCTTTGGTGGGTGTTAGAAGCTTTTGATGTTAATTTTGCCAGTGTGATATCATTTGAAGTACAGCATATGCTAGGAACATGACAATGGCATATTTTTTCCTCCTGCATAACATTACCTTACTCTGGCTTTTGAGTTAGTTTGCTATACATCTTTCTACTTTCTTTTTGTTTGTGTTGTATATTATATGTGCGAGATTGTACAGTTCTTTGCGCTTCTTGAAAAACAGTGCTAAACCTGTGATACTTTTTTGCATTTCTTAAGTAATAACTTGGTGTAAAAGTGTTAGGTGTTAAAAACTCAAAATGAAGGAGTGAAACGGTTAGTCTGTGAAGATTATTGCATTTAGATTTGAAATTAAAATATGTCATGTGAAAAAATAATCATCATAATTAATTGTGAACGTATACCCTGAGCACCCTAAGCATATTTTGTAAAGATCTATTGACACATTTTGAAACAGCTGGGGTGTTATTCCCGCTGTCCTGACTAAATTCCACTGTGGGTTTCCACAATCTGGCCTTTCTAAATTTCCCCCTTAATTCAATTGCTGAAGCGGTTTCTCACTCCTCCACCCAATCTGTGGAGTAGTGGGGCTGTTTGAAAAGGGTAGCCGCCACATGTCACCCAAGTGAGTGTTGGACACCTACATGCGCTTTAAGGTCCTTTGGGATATATGAAATATCAATTCACCTGTGGTGGAGTGATTTCAGCTGAATTTTGCTTTCATTCAGTTATGATTAGTTTGCAGTGTATGTTTTTAAAATGAATAGTCAGTTGATCATACCTGAAAAAAAAAGCCTGATATTTCTAACACTGATGGCAGAAAAGACCATCATCAGGAAAGTGGCCTCCTGGTGTCCCCTAGTGAGGAAATCCGGAACTACATTTCATTTAGATTGAACTTCCTCTGTAAGTCACGATAAAAGCATCTCATTTAACAGTATGACATTTTAGAGGATAATGAAGTGTACAGGGTCTATGTCTATCTGACATAGAACATAGACATAGATAGACATCCAGTAGAAGACAGAATGAAAAATTATGACAGAGATTCTAAAACCTCAAAATCGAGAGTATGCAAAAAGCAAAGGAACCCCAAATGTATACAAATCAATAAAACTCTACATGTAAACAGTCCATTGTCATAAAAACACAAAGGAGACATGTGGGTGGGCAGTCTCATAAACACTGTGTTTTACATAGTAGAGTGTTGAATAGAGGCTGCCATTGCCACTCACCTGAACTAAACTATTTCTCCCCTTTTTTTCAGCTATGGTGACATGGTTCCAAAGACCATCGCAGGCAAGATTTTTGGCTCAATCTGCTCTTTGAGTGGAGTCTTGGTCATCGCACTGCCTGTTCCCGTAATCGTCTCGAACTTCAGCCGGATCTATCATCAGAATCAAAGAGCTGACAAGCGCAAGGCTCAGAAGGTACATTAATGCTTTATTACAGTTATTACATTTTCTTGGCCTTCATGTATTATTTTACCAAGCCACAGAAAATGTAGCACTAAATGCTTAATTGGTCATATGAGGAAGCTATCACATTATAACAATAATAAAAAACCTTTTCTTAATTAACAAAGTCCTTTGTCAATTCCTGACAGTTAACATATCTTTTTAGCCGATACCACTGTGCGTATTTCTGTTCAGGAAGTCAAACGTTCTTCCAAAATAAACAGACAAATTAAACTTCTCATATGGAAAATCATTCAATCTGTCATAACAATTTCAGCAGCCATGAAGACTGGACAAACACAGACAAGTGCAACCCTGTACTCACAATAAGCTCTGAAAGTGCCTAAAAGTTTTGATGAATTAGAAAAGCTTGTGAATGTCTTGGTAATTGCTTGCAAAATATTGCAACTATTGTCTTCAGCTGAGCCACAGACTTCATTTAGAATTTATGATTTTTTAATAACTTTAACAGAAATTAAATGTATGTTGTTATATAAATATATGTATATTCTGTCCAATTCTTGAACATGGACTTATGTCTTAAGGAATCCAGAAACTTTTTTTGCAATAATATAGAAATTCTGCAAAAAATGTGATATTAAAACTAAAAAGAAAACGAACATTCAATATTTTGCAGGCTTTCCATTTGCCTCAAGATTGTGAGTGTTGGTGGTCGCAGTTCCATTCTTGATTCATTCCCCAAACAACTTCACTGCTATTGGAAAAAGTAGAGGTTTTCCATCGTGAAAAGTAGAATGAAAAAACATAACATTTCTGTGGAGGCAACTTCAGTGTCAGTCAAAACGGAGGATTTTAAGGTGGTCTTATAAACCATTCCCTGGTGGTGTGCAATGTACAATTTGAAAAACACTTTCCCCCAACCTGATTGTAAAGATTTTGAGAATTGATTTGGACCTTCTCACAAAAATGGCTTTCTGAACACTGTTGACAACAACTCTATACAACAATGCTTCCACCACCAAATGTGTCGTTTCTGCGATTCTCTGCTCTAGATGTTGTATAGGAATAGCAGGCTTGAATAAAAATTGAGCGATGTCACTGTACATTAGTAACAATTTACCAGTTACCAAACTTATACAAATTCAATCAAACCACAGTATGGGCACTTGGACTGAGTAGACAAGTAAGAATAAGCAAAGGTGTGGTAGCAGTGGAATGCCCAGCAAAATGTTTTAAGTATTAATTTCAATAAAGACCAGTGTGACACAATTTATATTACCTGTACTGAGGCTAATGTGGGCATATCTGGGAGCTTTAACTATCGATCAATAAACCAGGTCAGCCTAACAAACAGTAAAAGTCACATTTAATATAAATAATTTTCACATGACCATCCTGTGATTGCAAGAAACACATAGTCTAGAAGTGTGAGTAACCAATATCGGAAACTGCTGTGGCACTGTACAGGAAAGGTCCTCTGGCCTCGACAGGCGAAGTGGTAAACCAAACTCTTCCTCACTACTTAATACTAAATGTCTGTAATGTCAACAAGGAGACAGTCAGTGGCTTATTCATGCCAATTTTAATATGTGACCTGTGCACAATCTCAAGACAATATTATCAATCATGTATTGTCTAACATGTAAAATGTATTTTATCTTACCGTTTGTAAACAAGAAGCATGAAAAGGCTGGATTTATAAATAAGGTGTATAGAGATAAAATAAAACTGCACTAGTTATTCCATTATCATGAAAGTAAATCAGATCTCAATGTACCAAAATTAATTATTATTAAGGCAGTGTTTCTGGTTTTGAAAACTTCCACCAACATCAATGGGAGTCTAAACCTGTGGCTATAGAACTGCACATTTGTTCAGTGCAACTTTTTGCTAAACTATTTCCAATCATTAGTGTTCTTAACTATGTATTCTTACTGATATTATTTTGAGTACTGCTTAAGTGATGGCTTATCTGAGCAACATAGGCTTACTAAGCATATATACATCTCTACACTTGAAATCTTTGAATATACAGTAGGGCCTACTGTTTCCATTTGAAGATATTATTTGTATCTGTCTCATACAACTATCAGTGTAATTTTAAAACACTAAATCCCTAATTGGGAAATTTGCTGGTATGTATCATTGAATAATAGTAAGCATTTACATGTCTCAGACCAAATGGCAGTAAAACTAAAAATATGACACAGGAAGTTCCTTTTGCACTCCTTGGATATGGAGTGCTGCCATGTGAATGTATCATTGATTGATGTGCACATTTGATAAACACAAGAGAGTCAAAGGTGGGTTTGTCTAACCCAGAAGTTCTGTTCTGCGTTACTTTCCCCTTGGTTTTTAAGGACACACATCACTGTCATCATCTAGACAATGTGCTCGAGCAATAAAAAAGGAAAATATGGTTCATGGGTGCATAGCAAAGAGAATAGGATACAAGACTGCTTGTCTTAAAAGTGTGCAGCACTCTCATTAGACCACATCTGGAACAGTTCTGCTCTCTAAATTTAAAAACAGTATGAATACCTGATACTATTACTCAAGGACATATGTTGTGAGGTAAGGCTGAGAGAGCCTTCTCTCATCAGACTTCAACAATAGCATATTCTGCATGAATAATAAAAAATGATGTTTTATGCAGAGCAAAAATAGTTAAAGACTAAAATAAATCACCAGACAATGCTTTGGAGCCTCATACATGGTTTCAAAAGGCTAAACTACATTTGAAAATCATCAACCGCCTAAGACATTTTTAAATTGTCGAAATTCAGTCATGTAACCTGAGCAAGGAATGAAACACTGTATGCAAACAAAACATTTCTGGTTCCATTTAGTTACCTGTAACAGACATAGACACAAAGACAGTTGCTTTCTGATAGAATTATAGAATTTATAGAATTAAATATATTAATAAAGATTTCCATTTTCCTTTTTCTTTACCAGAAATGCATCCAGGAAGCTAAGTCCATTCCTAAGAGGCCTTTAAGAATTTATTTTTGAACTATACAATATCACATGATAATTCACTGTATGCTCCCAGCTCTTAATTTAGAACAGTTAGTCCATACTTTACACAAGAGGCCCTTGAGAAAAAAATTAGTTTATTCCTTCCAGTGTCCAAAGACATAACTGCAAAACCAGTGGCAAAGCATTCCCAAAAACAACAGTCTGGTTTTCAAGTTAGCTAGAATCTCAGAAGGAATTGGATTGCTTAAGTAATGAAAGGTTAAAACGTGGAAACATTACCGTGAATGCATGAAAACTCCTGAAACAAATGCAAGAGAAATGTTGTTAAAAACTTAATTTACAGCAGCATTTCTTTCATTCATCAGCAGCAAACGGGATCAACTTGGATAAATCACAAGACTATAACACTGCAGGAAAAAGGGTTTAGGAAGGGAATAGCAAGAAAATAATTGGACATATAATTATAGACATATAAGAGAAAAATAGTATTTAATAAATATGTATAGAAAAGGAGAAAAGGATTTTGACAGAAAGGGGCATTTTAAGTATATTATGAATGGATCTTCAATACGTTAGTGAAATTTATAGATTTGTTATTAATTAATTGTTAATTGGTATTTATCTGTTCTATGTTCCAGTTGCTATTTAATGTTATCCAAACATTTTCTAATAATATGCTTAGACAAGTAAAGGTCATTACTGTATAAATTTTGTTCTGATAGTAATTACCATGTAATTAGTTGTTATCACCATTCTTGCAAGACAGCTGCATGAGTTTTCATATGCTTTGTTTGTTAAACATTATATTAAATCAGTCTGTGGCAAATCAATTCTAGAAGCACATATTAATTCAAAATCACCAGAGCACAAAAATGAATACTAATAAGAACAACTAACAAAGGCTTGCAAACAAACAGACACATCTATTTCTATCCCCAAGTCTTCGGTTTCAGATTCGGTTTGATTAGCTTCAGGTGTAATTTCAGGTTCTTCAAATGTGCGTGTTTTGGTTGTGAACATAGGAGGTGTCAAAAGGGGTGAGGTGAACACTTTTTCAATCTCCTCAGTGTGACAGACCTCCATTCCCACTTGCTGCAGTTTCATGCTGGAAGTTTAAAAAGCTCCCCTGATTTAAAAAAAGAACAGAACATAGAAAGCTAAATGGCATATGTTTTCCAAACAGAAAGCGAGACTTGCTAGAATTCGGGTGGCGAAGAGTGGCAGCGCTAATGCATATATGCAGAGCAAACGCAATGGCTTGCTGACTGATTCACTTGAGCAGGTAATGGTCACAACTGACAGAGCAGCATCCCTCTGGTTATGGATATAATGAGCTGGTGCATGCAACTTTCAGAGTGGTAAAGGGTGTATCTGCAGAGCTGTAACATAAGTGCTTCAGTCGTGTTCTCTAATGTTTCACTCACCAGTGCCAGCAGCAATGTAACTCAGAATAAAACCTGATGGGTTTCCAGGTCTTCATTGCACTGGCCCAGGGGGTTATGGGACCCATTATTACTAAATAAAGGCAATGCATGCTGCTGAACCAGGAGCAGACACTGACAGGCAGTGGTTGTGGGGGAACCCACAACCACACCAATCTCGTCTCTTCCACAACGTTTTCCTGCAACTGCCATCAGCTCTTTTGTTTTCTTCCTCATGCATTTTTAACACACATTTGAGACACACCATTTAAGACACAGCTGAAGACTGGTCTTATACTGGGCGATTGCCCCCATGGCATCATCTTACAGCATTTGGATTTCATCGTGTAAAGGAATGAGATTTTTAATCTGCATGACTTTGGAAAGCGTTTGAAGTGTCTGGAAGGGTCGTGTATTTTCATGGTTTAAATAAGGCTGCCGATTATATACCTATCCATATATGGTTACTCTCAAAATGTGTTCTTATGCAGACTGCAGAACATTTAACAAAGAATTTCGAATTTCTCACCTGCACCATATAAGCCAAGTTTCAACCATGAACGATCCAGTCTAAAAAACAGACATTTATAAAAGTCCATGTTGAGTGGAGGAGAAATGGTGAAATAAACCATTAGCTCCTTAACTTTAATATGGCTAGAGTATGTACCTATTTTCAGATTATGTTTGAAGGATTTTGCGTTATGTATTTTAAGGCCTCAAAAGAAGCAGGACAGGCCCTGGTTACCAAAGTAAGCTCATCCTTTGAAAGGCAACATCACCACTTACTGCATTGTCTGGAGAAAACAACGGTAAGGAGTTTTTGAAACATGCATAACTGCGTCAATACTTGTCATTTCAATAATGTTGGGTACTGTATCTGTTTCATGTTTTTATTTCCGATCGTGGATTGCTCAGTCCACATAAACCAGTAGTGAAGGTGGACCAATTACCTGATTATGATGCAGGTATCTGAATTTACTGTTCCTTTATTTCTCAGAGGGGGTAGCACTTAACACTGAGATTACTGTGTCAAGATATCCTGTCACTTTCTATATTGAGTTTGCTCTTGAAAAAGATACCATGCACAATAAACCATTCTTATAGCTAAAGGTGGATGTTTTGACAATTATTGTTCTGATGGTGATTTCAAAATGTTTTTACACGCCTAATGTTCAAAGCAAACCTTGTATTTTTATATTGAGACACTTCTATTCTCAATGAGAATTAGAGTGATTTCTCAAAGGGCATGATTTGAATCTGCACTCTGCTGAATCTTAATGTACAGTAAAGTACTTTAGGAAAAAGCACTTGGGTAAATGGAAATGAACAAAGAAAATTACTTACCTCTTACCACTCTCTCGCTCCCCTGTGTCAGATGGATACAAGGTATCTGAGAGTTCGCTGGACTCAATGGAAACTATTACAGTACATTGGCTTGCTTAAGCATATTGTTTTGATATCCCCTCTAACCAACGGCAGATCCTGAGCACTAGAACTCCCCAAAGCCAAATTATGTTATGAAGTTCTCCTGCGGTTTTTTACAAGATGGTTGTAGGGGATCTAAAATAATGTTTTGCTTGTGGAAGCAAGCCTGCTGGGAAGCAGGGTAAGTTTATTACTGCAATGATTATAGAAAATCTATAATAAGAGGGAAACAGTATGTCCTACTTAGCCACATACAGTAAGTTAATGTTATTGAAAGCTGTGCAGTGTAAGGCCTTCTGTAAGTGCCTGAGGTATTAGCTCTCAAAGATGCTATTAGAATGTAATCCTTGTCATACAGTGAATCTTTAAAAAAAAAAAACCTCTTGTGAATTACTTTTCAAACTGACATGTTTCCTTGGATTTACAATTGTTTCACAACACAGTTTGACCTTAGCTAAATGTGAGTAATGCAAAACTCATATTCTCTCCAAAGAAAGTTCCACTTTTAAAGCTCATGTCTTCACTCCATTGCATTACAATTACATTTACACAATGGCTGATTTGCACATTGTCACCATTCCACCTGAGCTGCTGTTCGAAATCCACATAAGTAGTGTAAAATTTATAGTAAAAACAATAGAACATATTTTACCCAGTTCTAGTATAAGAACAAGTGAAAATTTAGGTAAAACATGCCAGCATAACAGAGGTTTGCATTGTAATTATTCACTGCCCAAATGAAACTGTCCTCCTTTCTTACAGATGTCCCAGAATCCCATGACACACAAACAACCACTCATTGTTTCTAACTAAGATAATAAAATTTAACTTGAAACTGCTTGAAAATGAACAAAAATGCTTTACATTTTCCCTGGGGAATCAATATCTCTGTCTTACCCTTTAATTTTTTTATTTAGATTTTTCCTCATCAAAGCACTTTGTTAGAGATTCCATCCTGTTTTCTAGTTAAAAATATTTTAAAAAATCTAAATTTTATATTATTTAAAAAGATAAAATTAAAAACATGTAGCCCCTAAACCTAGATTGATGTTTTTCTTGTTCTTCATATTAAATGCCCGCCATTCCGTTCCATGCCAGTTTTTTGTTTATGCTGTGTGTTGTGTGTTGTGTGTTATGCTATGTGTTGCTGTTCAATTTCTTTGCAAGAATCATGAGTTTGTGGACGAGCAGACCTATGAGACCAGCTGCATGGAGGTTTCCACAGCGAAACAGCCGAGATCTCGCTCCTCCTCAGTCTCCTCACAACATGGCCTGACGACGTGCTGCACTCGACGGAGCAAGAAGTCCTTCCGCCTCCCCAACTCAAATATGTTGGTTAGCCGCCCTGGAAGTGTGCAGGAACTCAGTACGATCCAGATCCAGGAGAGGCCGATGTCAAACAGGTACTCCAACCTGGGCAGACATCAGGTTTGCCTTGGCTGTTAGCATTTTAAGGTAGTGCTCAGTAAAGGCCAATCTTTGCACTTCACCAAATTCATTTATAGCTCTCTTTTTTTTAATTAGGTGAGCCATGCAATGTTAAAAACAAGCTTAAGTTTTCTTTATACATTATACAGTCTATTTTGGTTTATTGTCAATGCGTACGACACAATGCCTTTTTCAGTTTACTCGTCCCTTAGTTGAATCCTGCTTTACAGTTTGTGCATTATCTTTTTTTCAAACTAGTGTGAAATGGTTGAGTAAGGTCTGCAGCAGGAACAGTCAGCCTTAAGGAATTTGTGGTTGGATTATGTCTGATATTAAATACCAAAACACTGAAAGTCCATTAGGCCGCTTTGCAACACAATGTGCAGTTGAAATCATGTCTCATCTTGTTGGAATTTGCCTGTCTTGGCTTCTTAGCCCTTTAGATTTTTAAAGTGATTCGACTACAGGCAACTGCAGAAATCTTTTTGTGAGATGTACTGTGTAAACTCTCGTATTTCTGTCTGTGCTCAATTTTGTGTGTGCATTGATTTTTTTTAAAGTCGATCCAGTTTGAATGCAAAGATTGAGGAGACTGTCCATCTGAACTGTGACCAGCCATACATCACTGCAGCAATAATAAGCATGCCAACCCCTCCTGTGACAACGCCTGAAGGGGACGACACTACAGGGTCTCCAGACTACTTGCAGAGCAACATAGTGAAAGTGTCAGCATTATAAACCGCGCCTTTCTCTAAGTAAACGGTCTTAAAGAAGATCTACTGTCTGATGTGCTTATTTTCATGAGTATTTGAAGGATTGCAAAGACTGGAGGAAGAGTTTTATTTTCCAGGGTGACAGTCTTACGTTGGCTATAGGTTTTCGAAATCAAACATAGCTCTTTATGCATTGAATTTTGTGTAAAGTTAAGAGCTTGGACCTTGCAAAATAAAAGATGCAAACATTCTCTGAATATTTAAATATAGTGATCACACTGAAGCTTTTAGCAGTGGTGCACACACTATTAAAGAAAATTATTTTTTAAAACATCGTGAGTCCAAAACCTGGAAGACAGTTTCATGGAGACAGCAATTAGGCCTAATTCTGGACTGGATTAAGACATAATGTTTACTTTTGAAGCAGTAAAGTACGAATAAAGAATTTTGTTATTCAGAACTGGAAAAAATGCTATATTAGATTTGTGTATATTATGCAAATGGATGCCCTTGTGCATGTTGTATGTACAGTATCTGCAACTGCAATACTGCAGCAAACGTTTTTCCAATACACCAAGTGAAAAATCAGTTTTTGTAAGGCTGGTTTGTGCAGCTGTTACTGCCTGACACAACCTATGCTTACAGAAATTGTTATTGAGATAATTGCATTAGATACTGTACTTTTTTACTTCCGATACTCATGTACTGTATATATGTAATTTGTTTTTGTTTTGTGTGGTCTTTTGTATACAAAGGCAAAGGTGGTGTAGCTTACAGTGTTGAACCATTGTGAATATCTTTGATGCCAATTTGGACACAGTTTGTGAATTGTACTTCTTATTTGCTGTTTGGTTTGTTGTTTGAAAGAGCTTTAAGCTCTTGCATGAATCTCCCCATTTAAAATTAGATTTCTTGGTTATTTTCCAAGCATTTCATTTTAAATACCTTTTTAATAGAAACATGTTCTGCCCAATCCTCCATCCATCCTTTATCTAAAAGCTGCTTTTGAGTGTTTGCTTGTTGAGTGTTTTGTTCCTTATCATGTTGTAAGAATTTTGAGCAGAATATTAATTACGGGATAATGTTTGCTTTCTTTCTATCAGAGGGATTAGGGTGCATGCATATATTTTTATATATTTTTGACACACAATATTCCATGTTCTATGAAGATTAACTTTGTCAGAAATTCTAACCCAGATACTTATATTTATTCATGAAACATAAACATTCAAATAATATAGGCAGCCTACCAAGTATATGACAATGTCTACTTTTTTAAAGTAATTTTTAAAACATTCAATAATATTGGATTTACTCTATGTGCATTGAAAAAATACTACCACACATTTAATATCAAACCAAAGCTTTAGATTACCTTACCAGTTATGAACCATTCAAATATTTTAACATAGTTCGACAGTAGTTTAAAAAAAAGTCTGAAAACAATTGTTTTTCATAGAAACAATCCAAAGTAGCAACCAATTTTTCATTTGTTCTTGTTAGTAGATTTATAATTGAAAGCAGATTAAATTTAATAAGATGTGCAGCAGCTTTGAACACACTGATTCTGCTGCAATTCTCTTCTTGGCATAAAATATAGTTTTAGAAAAATAAAATAAAAATCTGCAATTAATTTTAGATAGATAGATAATACTTTATTAATCCCGTAGGTAAATTGATGTGTTACAGCAGTCCAGCCCAAGACAAGAAAAAACAGACATCAGAATAGTTATAAAACAAAAGACAACAAAATAAATAAAAATAAATAAAAAATAAATAAATACATAGGTGTGTGTAAAATGTGATGATCATAGTCACTGTAAAAACAATAAAATATGTGCAAAATGTGCATAGGTTTATACAGACTGCTTGTCCAAAAAGTACAATGGAGCAAACATGCTGTCCATAGACGAGCAAATGAAGGGCTAACAGTCCTAGCCTAGGGCAGCGTTATACACCCTGACAGCCGC